CTCTCATCAGCGCGTCCTCCGCCTCACGCCCCTCAGTGGCAATTCTCTGCACTCTCATTCGATGGGCTGCCTTGCCGAAGTTCGTTTTACGTCCGCCGCGAGCTTTGATTTCCTTCATTCTCTGTTCAAACCACTTGTCGGAGCGATTGTGAGACCAATGGATACGCGGGTCGAATCTCATATAACTTGGTCTGTAGGTTTTCTTCACAGCTCCAGCGGCGCCCACAGAGGCTGGGCCGGTGCCAACAAAGACTCCGTAGGGTGGTGGGAGTGCGTCAGGTTGGCCGTAGATCATGGCATCGAATCTACGCTCATCAGATGTACGACAAAGCTCAATCCGGCGATCTTCGCAGGTCAGCTTCTTGTAGATGGTGAGTTTCTCCGGACATGCGCAATTGGACGTGTCGATATCAACTTTGTTGTGAGTGTGGCATCGCAGCGCTCCTGAACCCGTGCGACGGCTGTGTCCGAAGCACGGGGAAATGTCAGCCGCGACAGCAAGACTAGGCTCATTAGGTGAAGACCCCGTTTCCATCTTGAGCTCCCGGATAACTGTTAGATTATCATTCCCTCCTAACGAGCCAAGATCAGATACCGAGTCGTAGCACAGTTTTGACCTGCCAGGCTTCTCTGGGCTGTCATTCGCAGCGGCAGGTCGCGAGGTGGCGGGTGCAGATTCGACGAGCGTCGTAGGCAGCAACCCCGATGGGCCGTTCAACGTGAGGCTGTAATTGCACCCAGCCAGTGCTGCATTTGATGGCGTGATGTGACGTGTCGGGTGCGCGCTTCTGCCTTGCCAAAGACTCTCCTTGGGACGTGACATCGCGACCGAATGGCAAGCTTCGGGTTGTGATGCCCGCCGCAGGCTTTGCCCCGAAGCAGCATCGAACGGTGAACTCTCCTGAACCCTGAATAGGGGGTTGGCTTGGCTTCCGCCGTCTAGTAAGGGTGCCAGATTGGGCGCCCTGCTTGACATCTTGTCTCGTGACTACGATCTTCGCGCGAAAGGACAGAACTTAGTTTAAGATGGCGACGAGTACCAGGGATGAATACTTTGTATTCAGGTCAGGCAGGAAATTTATTGAATAGTCCTGAGACGAAGACAGGAGACAGACGCCGTAGGTGCGGGGCATGTAGTGTTAGGGCACGGTGCTAAGATGCTAGCGAAAGAACTAGCTTCACTTTTTCCCTTCAAGGGGGTCTTCAAGGAGCTAAGTGTGGGCATTGCTCTCTTGCGCCGACGTTAACTTACGTAGCCAAGCAAACATAGGCAGAACCAGGTCTGGTTTTTCTGCACCGAGCTGTCGCAACATACCCGTTGAGACGCGGCCTCTCATCACTATCCATGCAGCTCTTGCTTCATGACCCACGCCCTAACCGTGTTCCATGAGGTGACTGGCCGCTGCGCTTGTGATGGGTTGATAACCGATGTAGCTTCGGCACCATGATCATCAGCCAGTCACGAAGAGGTGGGGACGCCAGAACAGATGGCGTGTCGTGACGACGTCTGCTAACAGCTTCAGCAACTTAGCGATCAAGTAGAACGGTTGAGCAGTCACATGAGCGACAGAGCCGAGCGAAAGTCGAACACGAGCAGAGATTCCTTGCACAATAGTAATAGTAAGGTTATAGAGAGGATCATGCAGTTTGGCGCTACTCTGATTAGGTGCCAAACATCTTCCTCGATAACTTGTTCGTTTTAGGACAAGAACAGGGTTTCTGTTTTTTTTTAAGCTGGGTCGTCCCTGCTTCACGAGTAAGGTCTCAGCGGACCGCACACCTCTCATTTAGCAGGCTGGGATGCCTTCTGAGGTAGCTGTTGGCCAACTTAGTGACAGAGTCGACAAAAGTGTTTGAGCGGGGCGACAGAGGACTCGGAGATGTCCTTCAGCCGTGCGGTTGAGACGATCCAGGTAGACTGGATGGGCTGTGTAGGTGCTTACAGTGTGGATGCATTAGAACTGTCTGCGTTAGACGCGATACCCATTTGAATTGATTTCCCGACCTTGCCGTGGAGGCGTTTGCTTGTAGCGAACCGCGCTCCTCTCGAAGTGGGCTAGCTGTAGCCTGAAATGTGGTGTCAACTTTGATGTGTGATCATTCCTGATTGTGTTTGTATGCTCAAGCAGAAACCCTTCTAAAATACCTTCGATGATACTTAGAGCCCAAATCTTAGTTTGATTGAAGTGATTGAGATGTAGATCAAACTGTTCACCTCCGGAGGACCGAAGCCAAACTTCAGAAAAGGGGTATGGGGTGGAGCCCCATGACCCTGAAGCGCAGGAGAGGTGTTCAAGCCCAAACTGATTGTGATTGACAATGTTTGTTCGTTGATGCTTATTGATAATCAAGCTCTGAATAGCTTCCTTTCTTTCGCTCCACTGCGTTTGCTCGCCCCCCCCCCCCCCCCGACTCCCACATCATCAGCTGCGCTGATCAAACGAGCTGAAGCTCATTATTCCTACGATGATGGCTTCGTATCACCTGCGTAATTATGCGGTCTGCAAGACCTTTGCTCCTCGTCGCCCAAGGCTGTCCGTCGTCATCTGTCGATGCGGAATGATGACAAGTGAAGTTATTGTCGACTGGCAGGAGGTGCTGAAATGAAATGAAATGGGTTACCCTGGCCTGGATGGTTAGAGCCCAAACCTTAGTTAGGCTGATACTCAGGAGAGTGACAACTGACTGATCACCTCTGGAGGACCCGAGGAGAGATCCGAAAAGGGGGTATGGGGCGGAGTCCCGTGACACCGGAGCGTAGCGGAGGTAGTTAAAAGCTGTTGGAGACAACTTCATTGACAATGAATGTGCCATTGATTGTAATTGACAATCCGTTTTCCGTGAAAAACTTCTTTTAAGTCGCTCCACTGCGCTGCACTTCCGTTGCGGTCCGGCTTGACACCTCCCCTCCACTCTCGTTCCACTTCGTTGGCGCCCACTACGGTACTGCGTACCTCCGTGAACCCGAACCCCACTAACCCGCTCCGGATGCGGTGCCGCCGTCACCTCCGCTGTGCTCAGCCGTTTCGCTTTGCGCTTCACTCTGGTGCTTTCGCACCTACGTTCTGCTTCCGCTCCACCTAGTCTCTACGGTGCTAAAGTACCTTCGTTCTTCTGTGCGGGCCGATAGCCCTTTGCATTCCACTGTGGTGACTGCGTCACCTTCGTTCCTCTTTGCACTCTGGTGGCTGCACCACCTCCGTGATGGCTTCACTCCGCGTTGCGCCATAACCCGAACCCCACTAGCCTCCTTGCACTGCGGTGGTATACCACCTTCGCTACTATGCGGTCTGAAAGACCTTTGCTCCTCGTCGCCGAAGGCCGCCTGTCGTCGATCAACCCCGGCCCGTGGCCGGTTTATAATTTGTTGTTGATAGACGATGGCCCAATGGCCCATCTAACAGCTTGCCCGCAAAAGCTGTGTCTATTGTTGTTAAGGCCCCAAGCTGGGTCAATGGCCCAGCGCTGGCCCGGTGGTAAAAAAAAGTCTGTGCTTTTTTCTTAGGTAAGAACGGAGGGAGGGACGACCGGGAGTGACGTACCCTGCTGATATAAGCAGGTTGATGTCCAAGTGGGAGGGCACACTTGGGTGGGGCTGGGGAACAGCCAATGAGCGAGGCGGAGCAAGATGTTGGGAAAACTATTAAAGGGCGGGATGCCCCTTTGCAACTAGACGTGGTCTAATTTGGTGGGAAACAAATTCTCTCGCAAGCAGCAATGGCGTACTATCGCAGAACCAAACGGAGTGGTTACGCAGGCAGAAGATACCGGAGGTCGACTGTTGGATACAGTCGGTACAAGAAGAGTGCTCGAGTGAAGAGCGCTTATCCGAAGAGGACGAGGACTAAAGTCTTTCCGGGCAAAGGGAAAGCCATGGGACAGCGCTTGGAAGCGTTGGAGAAACAGAGCCTGGGAGAGGCTACAAGCATCGCGTTCGATCCGGTGACGGGCGCGTCGGTTTCGTTCTATTCAGCCGGGGATCGGCGAGGCCAGAACTACTGGGAAGTTCCCATTAGCTCCATGTTGCAGTGCTACATGACGCAGCAACGGGTGTCGAAGCTCCATCTCACTGGTGTCGCTGTGGAAGGCGACGTGTACGCGAATGCGGACATTGAGCTGTTTGCCATGAACATTATCAAGGCGCTGGGGTCGCCTAGCCAAGTGGCTCTCGTGCCAGAGGAGAAGAGATATGGGCTTGGGTACGGCAATGTTGACGGACCCTTCTTTCTAGGCCGCGTGAAGGATGAGCGAGTGCGGGAGCTCGCTAGTGTTGCCTTTGAGGCACCTAGTCGGGACGGGACCCTTTTTGGTGCTCGGTTGCACAGCGACAAGTCGAGTCGCTCTACGGTCTGCGAGAGCAGAGTTGACGGAGGCAAGATTAACCTTGCTAAGAACGGCAGGTCCGCCTTCGATGTCACCATACGTCCTGTTGGCACGTCTATGGCCTCTTCCGTGCAGAAGAAGTCTGTCCGATGGTATTGGCCTCTGAGTCAAACCGTGAAGGTGTTGTCCGTGGGGAAGACGGGTCTGGTGGAGATAGATTACAGCTCTGTGCTGTTGATGGGTGTGCGCCCGAAGACGGAGCTTGCCGTGCCTGATTTGAAGGTTGAGCAGGGCGGTGGAGGTGGCGGTGGTGCCGCCGGTTCTTTGAATTGTTTCCGGGTGACATTGACCTTCCGTCAGAAGGTGCTGTGAAGCTTGAGAGTAGTGCGAAACGTAGCTTAGTAGAAATTGATTTGATCTGATTTGGTTTTACACTGATTTGTGTGCTAAAGCACAAACCCTTCTTTACTCTTTTAAGATAGTTAGAGCCCAAACTTTAGTTAGACTGTTATTCACTTTGTGACAATTGATCTGTAAATCCCTTCCAAGATGTGGAAAGGGGGAACGGGGCGGAGCCCCGTGACACCGGAGCGAAGCGGAGGTGTTCAAACTGTTACTTGTAGACTTATTGTCAATGAAGCTTCTCTAAAAGCTTTCTTTTAATCGCTCCACTGCGTTTCGTTCTCAGCTGCGCCTCCGCTTACGCTACGTCTTGCTTTCACTGCACTTCGTTGGCTCACTCCCTACGGTGATG